TATTACAGACAGCAGTAGTGGCTGATACAGCTTCTCTGAAAATGTGATTATGGCCCAGAGAAGGCAGCTGGTGCAGACATGGAAGCCCTGCACGCCTACCACCTTCAAATCCTATTTGTATTCATAAATGTGAACCCACTGGAAGGTGATTTACTCCTATTTTTCAGTTGGCCAGGTAAAATACCCTTTCTGAATATCACATAAAAATATCTGAATAGTATTTTTGTGGCCACTTCCCAGTGTAGCCACCCCCTGACGAGGCTCTGTGGCCTCTGCACACATTGCGAATGCTCCATCTAACCCGGAAGAACCACTTCTGTCACAGATAGCAGAAAGTATACTTTGCATAAAGGAGCAACCAGAAACTGCATTGAGGACAGCTACTGTTCTGCACAGAGTAGTGAGCCTCTCAAATGATTTTTATTATCAGTTTTCTGAGGACAGCAGCTTTATATTCAGTTGGTATAAGAAACACAGCTGTGGGCTTTGGGTTGTATGGATGAGATTACTTCTTTCTCTTTTTTTATACACCTGCTCTCCCAGCTACTGTTCTTATTAAGCATCTACAGGGAACAGGCGAAAGGGAACCAGGAGAAAAGGGGATGAAACAGCAAAGATGAAGGCAGATGCTCATGTTAGTCTTGTGAAGTAGCTGATCAGATTTTCTTTCTACACAGTAACTTGAATTTTGCCATGCAAAAGGAAGAAATTTAAAATAAAGTTGTGACCCTGTTCTCAACAACAGAGCAAGCTATCTGCAAATCACATTTTAAAAAATGTTGCACACTCAAACATGAATGATAAGGTTTTCAAGAGTGAGTGAAAGGGAGGTTTGGATTTTACTCTAAATTTCATTTGTTCCTCACTACTCGGACATACTCCTGATTTCAGTGCCATGAGTAAGAGGTGTTACATAACTATGCAAAATGCCAGAGATGTGGAGGCACGAATCCTGTCGGGGCTCAGGTATTAGACTATGACTCTGAAAGTATTGCCATGATTTCCATAGCAAATCCACTGAGTCACGGAAATGTTAGGGATTATTCACACTGTGGGAGGAGCCAAGGAAATGCAGATCTGGAAGGGGAACTTTTGCATGAGCCAGCTTCTGCTTAAGGCAAGAAGAGAACACTTTCTGATCTATCTGCAAATAGCCTAGATGTCCTTTCAATTAATTGCACACCATGAGCAAAAGTTTTTACAGACCCTGCCCCCTCTGTCTTACACACATCTGTGTACAGTGATGCCTTTGGTATATTCAACCAGCTTGGCTCTCCTACAGCTTTTTTGTACTACACAAATGCAAAGAATTGGCAGCATATTTATCCTTTACATTGGCCAAGCAGACTGGAACTTCTTGACAGCAGACCCAGGGCTGAGGACACTGAGAGACGAGAGAAGAGGATCCCCATGAGTGGGGGAATCTCCACACAGGCTTGAACAAGCAGCTGTTTGCTTTGATTTCATAGTGATAATAATCTTCCAAATGGCATCTTAGGGCTCAGCTGCTGCAACACTGTTTTTGGAATCAAATTACTAGAAAGGTCAAAATTGTTAACATGTGCTTTAGGAAGAGGGAAAATACCAGGCAAAACCTGTAAGCTTCCACTGCTGAAATATGTCCTCTGGACTAGCAGATGCTAGCATTTTCTTCCTTTCGCTGTAGGCAGAAGGGTGTCCTCTCACCAAAGGAACAGAGAAGGAGGTCATTCTGCTTGGAGTTCTTTCAAAAATGTGCAAGGAGGCAGAGACTCTTGTGATTTTTTCATAATTTAAAAGGCACAGAACAGTGTTAGAGGGAGTGAATGAATAGATTATGTTCCTCTTGCCTGACACGCCCCTACCCGTGCACTCCCTGCAGGGCTTCTTTGGCACTGTTGGGCACAGTTGTTCTAGTGTTAAAAATGTACATACTTATTATCGATCTTACATCCAAAAAGGAGAAAATGACTGTGAAGTTGGTGCTACAGCCAAAGGACAAGACCTAAGAAGAGAATTTTTCTTGTGCCTCCATTACATGTGCTGGGGCATAAGCATAATAATGATTACACTACAGTTCTTCTTCAAAAAGGAGCATTAAAAAGTAAGAGAAAAAAAAAGCAAAGGCCTCCACAATGTTTGAGCTACAGCTTCGTCTTTCTTGTTTACCAGACACCTCTGTGAGGCCATCTGAAGATGTGTGATGCCTCAGCATTCCATTAATCATCAAGGTATTTGGCAGATCAGGGCAATGTATTTTCCTTTTGAAAGAATTCAAAGAAAAGTTAAAACATCTGTTGAGAAACAGTGTAATAGAGTTCCTAATGGAGGCTTATTTCAGATGCATCATGCATACTTTGTCTCTTTGGGCTGGCCCACACTAATTAAAAGCCAATCTTATATTCTCCAAAACATGGCTAAGACAACACTGAACACAAGGCGGAGACTGTGCTCAGTCTGTGTTCTCTGCCCTAAATTTCAAAGTTTATCAAGACAAACACTGTACATACAGGCCTCTCTCCCACTGATGCATTCAACCATCTCTTCCCAAGCAAGTAAGCTGCCTCTACATTCAATACCCCAGTGGTGCTTATGTACTGTCCTGCACACTCCAGATGGATAATAGGATTCACCTTGATATGACAGTGCCAGTGTCTCTAAAGTAATTTGGCCCATGAAAAATCATCTTTCTAATCCTTGGGAATGTCATGTGTATTAGCTGCAGCCTTTCTGGTATGAATTCTCGAGAGTGGATTCAATTTCATACAAGTCCTAGCAAGAGAGACCATCCTAGGCTAGGAATTTGTACCCTACACAGCCTTTAATCTTCATAGAGACAAGCAACCACTGCTCTCCCTATAGGACCCACCTTTAAATCTCTACATAATATTTCCTTCCTACAGCAGGGAAGTTCGATCTGGGAATTTGGAGGTCAAATGCTTTAAACTGTCTTGTCCTGTATCGTATTTGAACATGTTTATGTAAAGCACTGCTTGTTCACATACAGTCTTCACCTTCACCTCCACCATCAAGTTAAGCTTTTCCACAGCATTTTTCCTCATCCATTTCCCGCTGACCCACAAAATCCTGTCACCTGGGTTTAATGAGCCTTAGAACTTGACTTAGGTTCAGGTTGCTAGCCACTGTGTTCAAAACTCCTGGTTTTCCAGTGCTTTGCCATAACTTCCCTCAAGCTTCATATTCTTGGCCAGCTACCTACTCACAAATTCTACATCAGAAATGACTCCTCACCAAGACAGTACATACCAGGCTTAAATCCACCTCAGTGCAGTCTGATGGATGGGAGCTGTTTGTAGTATTTCCATGGAGACAAGCAGCCCAGGTTCCAGTGACCCAGAGGAGAATGTCTCTCTGGGGTGCTGGGAACCGGGGAGGTGCTCACAGGAGCCCTCCAGCCTCACCTGAGCAGGCACTGAAGAACATGCTCCAGGAAAGCTGAGCACATGTGTTTGTGTGGCCTAGCTGAGTCTGGCCCAAGGTCATGAACAGCAAAAAATTTATCTCTCATGCCTTTTACTCTTCTGAGAGTTCACCTTTGCTGTATGCTTTGCATGCTCCTTGTTTCACTTGCAACACAATTATTCTTATTGCAGACCACTGTTTCACAGTCTGACTTTTTTTTTTATTACTGCTTTGCATTGCTGCATTGGTTAAAATACTGGTACTGCAATCAAGTGTTTTGAACAGCTGAATAAATGCTTGAAAACATGAATAATTACCTTCATTTACTCTATTAACCCCACACAAAAAATTAAAGACTCCTGAAAACACCCCCACTGGAGAAAATATTTCAGCAACAAAAAGTATTAGGGAAGATGTTGTTCTGTGCTCAGGAAAGATAATTCAGGAAGGTTGTATAGAGGTCACATTTAGTTTGCTTTTAATGTTTTGAAAGGGGAGAATCTTTTAAACTTTCAGAAGTGGGTACCTGCCTCAGGCTAGTACCTCCTTTCTCCAGTGGAGACCCCTCTCACTCTTTAGAGCTGGACAGTTGTTTGGACCAGAGTGAAATAGCTGCAGTCATGACCTTGCTCTCACCTTTCCCCATTACCACCAATTTCTTTGACAGTTAGTACTTCTGGGGGCAGTGGAAGGATTGTGTCTACCTGACAATGAGGCCATGACTTTTCTTTGTGCAGGAATATAGCAGATGTACTGAAAACGCAAATCCTCTGCTCTTCTTTTCTCTCTAAGGACTTTGGCATCCAGCATGTCCATGCAGAATTTCCTCAAGGAATGGAAAGGGCTCAGAAATGAAAGAACTGGCTTCATGCCAGCACTTGGTCCTTCAGGCAAACTCCTGAGATGCCCTATATGTGAAATGAATTGCAGACCTCTGCCTCTGAGGGAATTAGAGTTAATAGCTTAATGTTCTCAAAGGAAAGGGAAAAAAAAAAAAAAAAAAGGAGCCATGCAGGCATTTTGAACCTCCTCACTGCTGGGCTGTGCATTTCCTTCTGAAGGCAGTTTCAGGGGAGATGGTTGTTAGGGAGAGGGAGTAGGATCCCATTTTGTATGCAGATTTCTGTGCTGAGTCGAAGGTCTTATGGTCTCATGATGCCAGGGCAACAGCAGCAGTATCTGGCCAGTCTTTTTGCAGTGATCACCAGATGACCTTGAGATTTACTCAACCAGGGCAGTATGGTTTCTATAAATATTACATATTCCAGGATTGTGTTTTCAGCTGTACCAGAGACAATCCTAGTGAAGAATTAATTCAGTCGGGCATACCCTCCATTCTTTCTCACCCCTTCCCTCTCCCCCAGCACCGGCCCTCCCTTACTCTGGGTAGTAAAAAAAGCCTCCGAGATTTCTCTTTTAGCACTGACCTTCTGAGCTATCTAATGATGAAGATAGGAAGAGGCTGCAACCAGACAGTGGAAAAAAAAACCCCTTTTGCTAGCAGGGAAATGTGTGAGTAATATACACACTGTTGGACGGTGGCCAAATCACTCTAGTAACGGCTGTTAGTTCCCCTTACGAAGAAAATGATCAAATGAGAAAGAGGAGCTGCAGTCGGGTGTCAGAAATGCTGAGTCGCAACGGGAGAGTGCCGCATCCGATGGAAATTTACCCAGGAGCCAGCGACCTTCACACGCTGGGGACGAGGACTGAGGGCTTGTAGGGAAATCCTGCCCTCGCTCACCCACCGCTGTACTACCTCCACGTCACCACCCAGGCAGAACACACCCTGGAAAAGCAGACCAGGAGACGAGCTCCAAGACAGAGTGAGCTGCCAGGACAGGCTCTGTGGCGTGAAACAGGGTACTGCTCTCCATAGTGTGCAAGGATGTCTGGCCCCACAGCACTGCCCAGTCCTCAGGATTACTTGCCTCAGGTAATTAATTGCTGCTCATCTGGCTCCTCCCCTGCTGCTTTGGACACACGCACTTGAAATGAGACAGCTGGGTCCAGTTGACCCATATCTGGGGCTTCCACAACAGGAGGCAGCAGGGACCAAAGGTGACTTCATAACTCCCTGCTTTTAGGGCCGTGCCTTGGATCGACAGAGCTTCCCCAGTGGCTACATGCCCTGTAGCCATTTTCACATGATTTCAGGCCCATATTGGAAACAGAATGCAGGAATACTCTGGCTTCACCCTTGTCAGAGGGTCTCAGGTTTGGGATATGACCAGAACATCTCATCCTCTCTCCCACATACCAGGGCATAATCAATGGCTTTCCCTGCAAGTTCTCAGGCTCTCCGTGAAGGACAATGAGAAGTGGGGGAGGATAAGCAATAATGCCAGAGGACAAGGGATACAAGACAGTAAGTAAGAAAAGTAAGTTGAAAACAGAGGACAACTACTCACATCGAGCTCAAAGATGGATAAAAGGAGAAAGAAGTAGCTGGTGCTGCAATGATGGGGATGCTGGCTAGATGGTGCTAGCACATGCTCCTGTGCTTTTGTTGTGAACCAGTACAACATTATTACTGCTTTTCCTTTAGACAGAGGTTTCATTTCTATTGCAAGAGCTGGAGAAACTACTGTCTCTTGATGGTATTGCTAATAGAGAACAGGTAGTCCCCAAGGGACTTCTTGTCCCTGTCAAAGTTGAAGGGTTCCTGGAATATGAGAAAGATAATGCTCTCTTTGCAGCACTAGGGAATGATAAGCAGCCGTCTCAACCCAGTACTCCCATGTTGGCTAAACATGACACAAAATTTGATATCTGCCTGGCGTCATCCCTGAAATCACCCCTTCTCGGGCTGTGCTGCAGGAACTCGCTCTTAATCCTCTGGACTACACTGGATTAAGCTCTCCTGGCTGTGCTAATAGAGCCGGCTCCAGTCACCAAGGCAACAGCAGGCTCCTCAGCCCCCGCAAGGGGCGTATCCACATGGTGAGGTGAAGATCCTGGCTCCAGCACACCCAGTCCTGAAATCCACACACTTTTCATTTGTGCGTTGTGCTTTTTATTTGATGCCATATCCTGCTTGTGGCAGAGCATCTGTAGGGCTCTTCAGAAGAACCAGGTAGGAGAGATCCTGTTCCTGCCGTGGTGAAAACCAGTGGGCTTCTGGGACACCTGCTGGTGGGCTGGTGCTTGACACACACAAGGTCCTGAGAACTTCAGGCCTGCACAAGGACTATTTCCAAACTCCAGAGCTTGGATTAAATGTCTGCTAGGTCTCTTAGTGAATATCTGTGATGAACAACGAAGACTGAGGGTAAATCAGATCTTGAATATAGGTTCAGACCTAAAACAAACTCCCTATATATTATGGTTCACACAGAGCCCAGCCACCACTAGAGGGAACAGAAGCTCACAATGAATGACAAAATTACAAGATTGTTCTCTAAAATGAATGCAGTCAATGAGGAAAATACTAGCAGACATTCTCCATTAGAACTGAAGATGAAATATAGACATCTGATCTGGTAAAAGGAGGAAGTGGCAACTGGAAATAAAGAAAAAGTAGGGGTTTATATCTTTGTCTGTCCTCCAAACCCCATCTCCAACTCCTGCAGGCAGAGGATTAAAAGGGGGATTACACCCAAGTCTCCTTGAAGCTGTTGATAGGAAATTAGGCAAAGCTACAGGCTAGGACAGCTTATATTTGGTGGAAAAGAAGACATTACCTCTTTTATGTGCATCAAAAAGAGCTTACAAGCATCCCAAACTCTGTCTTTGCAATGGCATTCGTTGCACATGGAAGCAAAACCAGCTGGGTTAGCTGTCCTGTTAGCTTGCTCCTGGGTGCTCTGTGAACTTGTAGCTCTGCTCAGAGCTGCACTGGCCAGCCAGCCTTGTCATGCACAACAGTGGAAAAAGAAATAACCAGTATGATCAGGTAGAAAGTGGAAGTAAAATTTTTTTCCAAGAGGTTAGAAATAACCTCAGCTTCAGCAGGCAGTTATCCAGAACTGAGAGAAATGTGAACTAGCAATTGAAACTAAACAGTACACGTCCCTGCAAGTCCTTGCATGCCCTCAGGGTTAGTAAGGAAAGGGTTTTACCAATCCCTGCTGCTGACTTCTCCTTCAGAGCTGTTCATGCTGCCATGGGTATCCTTTGGTATGTTCTGGGACAAGAGCAGGGTGCCTTGCTGTGTACCCTGATTCGAGGCACCTCACAGCAGCTCTTCTGCTGGCTGATGGTTCAGAGCAGCCAGGAACCAAAATGGATACAGGGCAGAGCAGTCCTCACATAGTAATTCTCCCTAAAGTTTAAGGTCTGCTGAATAGTAGTATGGGAAGGAATTGCTGCCTCTTGTGTCAGTCATTTCAGTTTAAGTCTTTCCTTTCTTAGCTCATGGATTTATGTGCCTTCATCCTCTGTTTTACTATGTCAGGTGCCCTGACTTCCAAAGACTTGCTCCTGATTCACACTGCTACAGCCAAGAGGAGAAGGACTCCACATTATTGTTCCCAGGAATGAATCCTGAAGGTCTCTTGATCTGTGAAGCAGCTACAGGGAAATTCGTCGTAGAAACAGTCCCATTACTGCCTTTTGTCCGCATGACTCATATTGATCCTGTTAACTGCGACTAACGTATTTCCTAAGATATACTTTCTTAGCTTTAGGCCAAAACTCTCTGGTCCTGCCTCCTTCTTATGCACAAGTTTTCCTCTAATTCCTATTGATGCTACCCTGCCTGGCACAGAGTGAACCATCTCCCTTCATTCCCACAAGCAAGTGCCATGCAGCCCTGTGCAGCAGGTATCAAGAACCTGCTGGTCACACTGCAGTGAGAAACTCAGTCCAGAGGCCCTCAGCTGAGCAGCAGCCATAGCACAGCTCCAAAGCTAGCTTGTGTATGTGGTTCCTTTCTGGCCTCTCTTTTCCCCTGGAGGAAGAGGAAAACCTTGGTTTAAATATAGCTAGAGTTACCATGGCTGCCTTGCACAGAAATCAATGGAAGGGCATGAAATCTAGTCCAGTCCCTGTCATGGCACTTTTCAGGTTGGAAGTTGCCTTTACCATTTCCTCCCATCCTCAGGGCCAGTCCAGCTACCCCCATTGTCTGCCAAGCACAGCAGCAAGATTCTTGCCCAGCTGCAAGAATTTCACCCCTGGACTGGTTTAGATTTGCACACACACAAGTGCTACTGATGCACTCATGGCCTGTCTTCCTCTGTCCTCATCTTCAAATGTCAGTCCCATGGAGGTTCCAGGGCTGACTCACTCCAAGCACAAACTCTGGCCTGCCCATGACCTGCATGTCTGAGCAATTCTCCTTGGCCAGCTTTATTTCAGACCTTGGCTGCAGGCAGGAATGATGTGTCCAGGAATAAAGCTCAACTCCTTTGTGATTGACAAGGAGGCCTCTGGGTATCCTCTAACCTAATGCTGCTGCTGAAATGGGCTGATGCCACAAAACACAGCAGTAGGAACAACTCTGAGGTCAGGAGAATGCCAGCCTGCAGTTTCACATCTTCTATAGAGGCAGAATGACCATATACCTCTGTCTGGGTCTCAGTTAAGGCTTGGAATATGGACAATGGAAAACCAGCAGGGTAGTTGAATCCCAGACCTGGAATTGGGATTCTCCCTAATCTTTTCAGACAGATGCTTCAGGATTTTTCCACAGGACCCTACACTACCCAAAGAAGGTCATTATGGCCTCATCCATCAGACACATCCCACAGAGCTGTAAATTCTCTTATTGATAATAAGATGTTCAGTTCTTGACCTGATCACCATGGGAAGCCTGTTTCTAAAACAAAAGGTGTTTCCACAGCACACAAGGGTAAGAAATGAGATTCTTCTGTGTAGCAGATTACTAGCACCTTAGAAAAAACTGGCCTGTCCAGACTTCAGTCATTTCTAGGATAGGTTTTGTAATACTTTGCACCCTCAGATGTCACTGGGAGCTTTGCTCTTGATTTCTGTGGGGACAGAGTTTATTTTAAAGGCATTTCATCTTATCAGAAATCAAATGCACTTCATACACTCTGTGCACATGGGCATAACCTAGCCATTCAGGGAAATGCTGTCTCTGTAGGACAACCATGGGCTGACAAGACATCCACATGCATATAAAAATCACCACATCAAGGCATAAATTTTTCTGAAAATTTTTGCCTCCAAGTGCTATGCAAATTAAGCAGTTCACTTGCACTTTCCCCTGGTGGAAAATAGGCTGAATCAAGAGAGGACTTACAAACAGGACTTGACAAAGTGTGTAATTCTTTAGAGCAATTAGGGTCCCAGCATGGGACAGGAGCTGTGCACTTCACCATTCTTGCCTGTGTTCATATCTTTACATTCACTTGAGAAGTTTGACATTGCTCAACTAACAAAAAATGGTCGAAGCATTTGAATGAAGCAAATTCCAAACAAAAAACGAACTGCCTCACAAGCCAGCTCTGCAGCTCCTAAGCCAACCCTCTTTCCCTGCAGCCAGCCTGATGCCTTAGTTTTGACAGGAAGTCACACCCGAAGAAAGGAAAAGAGAAACTGTGAAGCCAGACATTGCCTTAGCACAACCACAGCTACACAGATAAGCGCTGGGGAGGTGGGGAGCCCCTGCTTGAGATATGGAGAGAAACTTGCCATATGCCCAAGGGCCTCACAACAAAATCATGCACTTTAATATCTGCACTGCACATAATCCCTGACAGTCTCTAATTTTGAAGGGATACATAAATATAAATCTGATCAGGGAGTGGGATATAAAAATACATACATTATTTTACTAAATAAATAACATTTTTCACACCTGTTACCTCATGAACATATCTTTACCTACAATGAGATAAGAGTTGTGGTGGCTGTCTGTTTGGAAGCTCCAGTAGGAAGTGCTTCTTTCAGACAACTTTCTTCTCTCTGAAGTTACAAACCAAGGCAGCTGTGGACTGCAATGTGATGGTCAGTGAACCTCAATAAGCCATGAGATGGTTCAAGCAGTGCAGACTAATGATTTAGCATTGAAAAACATCAGCCAAAAGTACAGCAAAAGAGGATATCAGAGAGCAGCAAAACAGGATTCTGCTGCAAAGCTCTGGTGAGGTGCAGAATATGTCACACCTTCCATGGCAAACCACTTTCCCTTCCTACTCTTAGCAAATTCTGTCCCCTCTCTAAAAGATTTCTCTTCGCAAATGAACAACAGGGGTGAGGTTTACACAAGGGAAATTCTTGAGCATGAAATGCAGAATATAAACCACAACATCAGCCTGAAAAGTCCAGCAATCCATTATCATAAGCTTACATGAGCCACATTTTCCATGTTTCTAAAACACAACCAAAGTAGCTAACATCTCTTATGTGGCAGGAATCCAGAGAAAGAGACAAGCCAAAGCAAGACTGGGCAGTCCTCCAGCAGAATGGGTTAGCTTCAAAAGCTGAAGTGCACTTAAAACTTTAAGGGGGAACAAGAGGCCAGCTTTAGATGTTTTGTCAACCATACATGGATTTCCAAGCTGATGAGAATTTCATCAGATCATCAGATTAATGCTCCACCATTAGGCTATAGTTTCCTACATAGGAATGATGCCATTTAAGTAACAGGAGAGAGTTTCATCATTCTATCAAACAGCATGGCTGATATTTGCTATTTCCAGTATACTCTCTGCTCCACACACAGGGTAAATTTCCCCCCAGTAAAGTAACTACTATTTACTTAGCAGGAGTCCAGTGCAAAAAGAAGAGAGGATTGCTTCTACAAATAAAGAGTGCTTGGGAAATTCTGAGTGAGACAGAATCTTACTAGCATCTAGAAAGAAGTGGCACAGACACTGTGACAGTCTCTACTCTTGTGGAAAATAGCTCAGTAGGGAGTCATTTCTTGTCCCATCTGAAACCTATAATTTCCACCAGTACCAGGCCATCTTATATGAGGCTGCTGATCCACTTGGAATTGGCTAAAACCTTTGAGACTCTCCCAGCCATGTTGTTACTCCAGTCACTGATGGTTTTCTTGGGTAGCTAGTTGGAACACAAGGTAAAGGCAATCAGCTAGCAGCCATCTTATCAGTATGGGGTTACTCCTTCTAATTGCTGTTTTTCCATGCCTTATTCATACAGATAACTGGTGGCAGATGTAAAACAAGTGAGAAGAAAAATAGGTCTTTAAAATTAAGATTTTTTTTTCCTCTGAGCACACTCAGACAAAAGACAGGGTTTCAGAGATCTTGTGGTGCTTTTTGGAGAGAGACAGGGAGAGACAAGTCATCTTAGGGAAGCTTTGTAAAGCCAAGTAATCCCAGCTTTAGTGATCTGCAGTGTGTATGTTGCATTGAGCAGGATAAAGGGGAAAGGGGCTACAAGCCTGTTTATATCAAGCAAATGCAGATAGAAGAGCTATTCACAACACAAAAACACTGTTGTGACACTTAACCTTGCTCTGCTGACAGCATCAGTAAAGGGAGCAAGAATTGATTCAGTTTGGAGACTGAACTCCTACCTCTATGCAGGAGTTGTAAGGGAGTAGGAGCACTAGGAAAGAGGGGAGGAGTGAAAAGGAAAAAAAAAAAATTTGTTCTTCTCTTATTGAAATAGGCAGACAGCTCCCCTGGTGTCCTCACATGGGCAAAGAGCTTCCCCTCCTCCTTAGCAGCTCCCCCTTGTTCCAAGGTATTAAAAACATGATAACAAATCTATCCAGGAAAGACATTTACACCATGTCTAAAATACAAAGAGTGCCTACATCAATACAAATCAGAATTTTGAACTGGCTATTCTTACTTCACAGTGTAGATTGCCCAGAAGTTTTATACACAGATGATTGACCTTTTTTTGGGGTGCACTGCAGGGCAAACTCTGAAGATTTAATCCAGGAAGATTCTGGAGACTTTTTCAATGTGAGGATACTGAAAGAAAATTTGTATTAGGAATCTTGTTTGAAATAGTGTCTGAGAAAAGATGGGCTGCATCCCCACATACTACTGCACATAGTCATACAAAAGATACTGAGTCCAGAGTCCCATGGAAAACTGTTCTGGAGTCTGTACACACTGCAGGCTCCACGACATTTCAGAATGACCTGTTTATAAGGCAAAATACTAAAGGTCCATAAAAAAGTTAAAAGCCAGCACTATAATGGGCCATAGGGGAAAAAAACACCAAAAACAAGAGAAGGGAGAATTACTGGCAGTGTCCAAGGTCCCTGCAATAGCTGGGAGTTTGCTATGGAATTTCCTAGCTGTTAGCATGTGAAAGAGAAGCAGGACTGGCAGCCAGTGAGTCTGAATGGCATATGAAGAGTTTGGGTATCAGATCCAGATTCAGAAATACGGAAAACAAACCCCACCTTCAGGGATAAGACCCATTGAATGAGAAGACAAGACATTGGAAAAATGGTAGCAGAAAAGGAAGATGGGGGAAAGAAGGCACAGAGAATGGGAATGGCTAATAACAGGGGAAGAAATGGTGGTGAACTTCTGGGGTTTTTTAAAAATGTCAGTTTTGTTATAAACTCAGTGCATGACCTTGATGACAGGTAAACCTTACCATGCTTTTCCTCAGATTCCCATGTCTGTAAAACAGATACAATATTTCTGTACCTCAAGATTCCTACATGGAAAGTGCCAGAAAGCTATTAAATATATAGTGTAAAAAAGTATCAATTAGGCATAAAAGGAAAAAGCCAACTCAAAAAATAATCACTGGTATCTGTGGAAAAATTTCATTTTGGGTGCCATAAAGAACTATTCCATTTATATTCTTAAAAGGAGGCATGGCTGAGAAAAACAGCACTCTCTTATTACC